TCTGCAGGCATAATCCCTCACTGTACCATCCTGTGAGAAATACCTACCAAAATTCAGCTAACACGCTCTTTCCTTGCCTCTTGTTTTAATTTCACATTGTACACATCTTGATTCTCTAGGCTGACCACTTCAGCAGACGAGGCAAGACACTTCCTCAACAAGAGTCTTTAGAGATCGAGCAGGCTGAGGAGAAGCCAGTTAAACGCTCGATCATCACTATGGAGGAACTTACAGAGATAGAGCGTTTGGAAGATCTGGACACTTGTATGGTAAGACACATCCTTTTGGTAGCAGCATTATCCTACTCTCTGGACTCAGCTATTATATTTTTTAAATACCACCTTTGAAAAAAAGAAAAGAAAGAAACCATTCACAATGTCCTTCAACTTCTGAAGAACATGAATAAATGCTTTGAGGAAGACCTAATCAGATGGAAAGGCATACCGTGTTCATGGTTAGGAGATTCAACTGTGGTGTCTTTTTTGTCTCAAATCGATCAATTAAGTCAGTGCAATTCTAGTAAAAATAAATAAATATAATATCAGCTTTATATTATAAAACCTCCCCCTAGACACAATACTTTCACAAACTTGTTGCTATTAATGAGTTAATAAACCTTACTCTTCGGGTCCCCATGAAGGTCCTCTACCTAACTTTTATAATTTTATAAAACTTTGAGTACCTACATACTCTTTCCCAAAGAAAAATTGTGAAAGTTTCAGTGAACATAAAACCTAGATCTGTCCCTATATCCATCGTGGGGGGGAAAATTTTCCTAAATTAGGAGAAATGGATTATTTTACTTTTAAGGCTCAGGAAACTATCTTTCCATAAAAATCCATTAAAAATGTGTGGAAGGTCTTCTTTCTCAAACAAAATATGTAGATAGGATGACTCTTTCTTAATCCTATAGTTGGTTTGCTTTTTCTTTCTGCTATTGCTTCCTGCTTTTTCTTTTATACAATTCTTGGGTATAAATTTGTATTTCCTTTTTAGTTCCTAGCCTGTCTCATTCACTTGACTTGATGTGCTTTAGAAAATGGAATAATATTCACCATAGTGTTTATATAACAGGGTCTTGATTACTTACTCATTTTCTAAATTTCATGTGTTGTACCCATCTGGCTGTATAACTGGAATATTCAGATTGTTGATACTTTTTTCCTCTGGGAATAATTTCACCTTGGTTCATTTCGTTATTGTAAAATTTGTAATACTAGTATGATTGATTCTCAATTTACATAAAACCATTATTTGTGCTTCTATATTTAATGTTTTCAACCTCTCTTTTTAACATTTTTATGCTTTAGTAAAATACTTTTTTTTAATTTCTTTTAATTGGAGAAGGTGCAGGTAAGACTAAATTAGGGCTACTTATATGCCCAAATGTTTCCACATCTGTTTCTAATTTATAGCATTTATGCAGGAATGACATGTGTACTTAATACTCAGAACCAAGCATCTCTTTTGGTCAATATTATCTCTGGATAATATTGGGGAAAAATGTAATGCTTTAACTAGTTCTCATTTATAAACAATTGTTATAATCTTTTAAAGCCTGTGAATAAAATAGCTGAATGTGTGCCAAATAAAGCTCTATCATATATAAGGAGACTTGTAAAGAAAGCCTAAAAGATAATCCTAGATTTCAGGTAATATTCTAGTATAACCAAAGATGACAACTACTTTTTCTATATAACTATACAAATCTATAAATATATTTGATCTATGTGGAGAAAATAATCAGGTTTTTAAAAATTTGTCCAGTATAGTCTAAAATTGTTTGCTTAACATGTTTTGTTTGCATCTTGAAGTGATAGCTGCTGAACACTGTTATAGAGTGTGATTATTTTGGAAATTCTTAGACTAACCGTAAGAGAAAATAAATAATAGGAAATAGATTTTAATTAAAAATTTAAAATTAGCATCACATTTCTGGCTGGAATTACATGGTCATGTATGAATTGGAAAAGGGGGGAAACATGATCTAGGAAAGTGTATTTTGTTGGGTAGTATAGGTTTTGTGGTGTGGGGTACAAAATGCCGGTGAAGGGGTTTGTTTTAGCTACTGTGCAGATCATTTTAAATTGTGTAAAATTTGTTTTTGTTTGCTTGATTTAATTATATGAAAGAAAAAAAAAAGGTGGTTCCCTTTAAATAATGAGGGTAGGATGACAGTGGAGGAGATGAACCTTGTTTAGTGCAGATCCAGATCTACCGTCATCACAACCAAAGGGCAACACCACAGGCACACTGAGCACCATTTTGGCTTCCATTTTGTTAAAATGGCTTTCATTTTGTTAAATGGCTTCCATTTTGTTAAAACACTCTTGTTACCATGACGCATGAAGAGGCAGGCTGAGCTGCACACTAAGCATGACCTGAGTTAGACAGATGGTCTTCTTGCTCAGGTAGTTACCTAGGCAGGCAGGTAGAGCTATTCCTGACATGAGTACCTACCTGTTGAATCCTAGGATTAGGAGCAGGGTCTTGGGTCTTCAACTCCTGACAAATAAACACAAGCTAGAGCTCTAGAAGAGCCAAATACTTACATGGGCAGGAATTTTAAGCCATGAAAATGACTTTTTTCTCTTTCAACTTTTGTCTTTATTCATTGTTTAATGAGGCTACTGATTTGTTAAGTAGCAGAAAACTGGGTCTAAGTTAGCTGTTAGTTGAATGAGAAAGAACATTCAGAGGTAAAAAGTGTAAAGCAGTGGATTTTGTGCTGTAATGATTTCCTCTCTCTCAATCCAACCTTCGATTCTAAGTCAGCACCATTTACATGGTGGCAACCCCTTTCCCCCAGGTCAATGAGGAATTCTTCTTACAAAAATCAGTTTTCTGAGCTTTGGGCTTCTTATTCTACTACATCAATGGTATAGATTCACAGCTAATTTGAAGAGTACACATTTTGCCTTGCCTTTTAAAATTCCCTGCACTGCTACCTTTCAACATCAAAGTAGCAAATCATTTTTGTCTCTCATTGACATCAGTTGTCAAATATGTTTAGCCACTATCTTCATGGGGTAACACTGAAAAAAAGTTTGAAGGACTTATTTCAAAGGGAGAGACTTGCCATGGTAGGGCCTCCCCGGTGGCGCAGCGGTTGAGCGCTGGGTTGCGAAGCTGCCCGCGGCCTCTGCGGCGCCGGTTCGATCCCCGGCTGCTCCCTGGCCACCGGAGGAGGATCCCACATGGTGCGCAGACCTCTCCTGCCGCCCGCTGCTCCCCTCAGCAGTGTACTTCAGTCCTTCTGCCTGCTCTGCTCCCCGCTCTGGCTCTGGTGAATTCTCTCACCCTCCCGCGCTTCTGACTGTACCCAGTGCATGTATAAACAAAACAAACAAACAAATAAAATAAATAAATAAATAAATAAAAACATGCCTCTATTAAAAAAAAAAAAAAAAAAAAAGAGACTTGCCATGGTAATGTTTTCTAAATGTGCCTCTATGTATTCCTTGGTAGCATTTCTGTCTTAAAGTGATCCAGGAAGTAAGGACAAAAGATTAAGTGTTGTATAGAAAATTCTCAAAAGCAGGAATGCAGGCACACAGAAGTATAAGCTCCTAGAAGGCAGAAATGGTGTGTGGAACTGAAGCATTGTTGAATGTGACTGCTTGGGGAAATGCTATATATAGCTTTACTGTTACCTAAAATGTTTGTTTATAGTCCAGAGCCCTGTGACACTTTCCTGTGTATGTTCTGAAGTAAATGACTCATTGTTACCTTCAACTTGGCGATTCAAGATTAGTAGCAGACCCTGGTATTTAACAGCTCTGACGTTCATGGCCTCTACTATGAATGTCATGGTTCATAGCCCTGAGACACTTTCCTGTGTGTGTTCTGAAGTAAATGACTCACTCACTGTTACCTTCTACTTGGAGATTCAAGATTAATAGCAGGTCCTGGTATTTAACTTCTCTGACATTCATGGTCTCTTCTAGATTCATTTTTGACCATTTCTTTGACACAGTAGAGATAAAAGCATCTTTCCCCTACTCCCTTCAGGCATCTTATTTTCGTATGTTCTTGCCTGTCTTCTCTGATCCAAAAGTCAATTCCATTTCAGTACTTAAAAGTCTCTTTAAAGAACCAGTAGTTAAAATTACAATAGGGAACATTGAAGCCATGCATTCGAGGTAGAAATTTATATTTGTGGGAATTTAAGGATTGCCTTCTTCCAGATGGCAACAATCATCCATATGATTGATGTTCTAGAAAAATAGTCAACACTTAGTCAACACCTTTTAAATTTACACTTTGACTAAGTGAGGGCTGAAGTAACAGTGACTGAATGATTGGATAGGGCCTGTTACCTGCTGGAGGGGTGACTGTGAGCTTCTAATCAACCTTAATTTCATAAAGCTGAAGAAAAAAACTTTTCTTAAAATATATTGGTGTATATTTTACAAAAACCCTGTCTCCAACCCAATGACTATCTCTTTTTCTTTTAACTATCAAGAAAGTAAGAAATAATATAGTTCCCTGGTAGTGTATGGTGGGAGCAGGACAAGGGTGGAACAGGAACTAGTCTGTAACTTTCAAAGATTTTCCAACATATATCCACTCTCAACTTGAACTTGTGTTACCCCTTTAACACCAGAACCAAAAAAAAAATCAGATTGTTTAAAAGATCTTACTCATTTATTTAAATAGTGTCTAGGATGGGCCAGGCACTTACTGGAGTTCCTTAGGCGTAATAACTGGCTTAATCCTCATAATAACCTATGAAAAACTAGGTATTATTAATAACTTCTCTCTTAAAAAAGTAAGGAAATTGAGGCATAGAAAAGTTGGAGTGACTTGTCCAAGGTTATCTAAGGTCATCCAAAGGGAGACTGTTAGTATAATTGTCTGCATGTTTAATCAGTCTGCCATTATGGTGTCTGTCTGCATTCATATACAGTACATTTCTTGCCATCAGAATTAAATTTTGAGTTAGCTTTCATTTGACTGCATTGCTTTATGTAAAAATATCTGCCTATTAATCCCACATGAAAATTGATATGTGGACAGAAGCCCAAAGGAAAGATGTGTGTGCCATCCAACCATGAAAATGTAAGCCTACCATCTTTCAATTAGCAATAATCGCGCCTCGGATAAACCTCATTGGCTACGATACTGCCACTGCGCAAAGCTGTAAGCCTACCATCTTTAAACACTGGAAACAACTCTGCCAAAAATCTGATGCGCTCAATTGTTATCTGCCTGTTAGAAATTAATCTGCCCACTCTTGACTTACCTGAGATACTCCGTGCCTCTCCACGTGCTATTTTGTTGGTGACAGTGATTAGTTAGCTTTCCCTGACACTTCTTATCATTTCAGCACACATGCCTTCTATGCCGAAATGCATATTTACTTAGGGTCGTGATGGCCCACACACCATCTGTTCTTTTTCTGCAGTCAGGTGCTTTGAGCAAAGCAGAATTCCCAACCGTATCTTTCAACTTTAGTTTGTCATTGGCCCTTGGGGTGGTAAAGGCTGCAGTTCTCATTCTACTGATTAGGCATCTCTAAATATTTAATTTGTCGTTATATATACTTTACTACCTTTAAAAATTTGCAGAAGTTTCAGCTTTAGCTTAGGGAGCCCAGTGGGTGAAGAGGCAGTGTGTGCTCCCTTGGCATAAGCAGCTCACTAATTGTATGTAATTCTTTCAATTATTTTAATGAGTGTCATACCAGTTTTAAATCAAAAGAGATTCATGCAGGGAGCAGTTCCTCTGCTTATTGCTAGTTCCTAGGAATAGAATTTTAAAAGGCTTAAATTATTACAGAATACATCTTGGTGAATCTTTCTTCCAGTGACAAAATAATAATTATTTTCCCTGAACAAATTTAGCCTCGGATTTCAATATATAACTTTAAGCTTTTTCATAACATTAAAATTCAGCAAAGATCCATTGTGTCGGTCAGAATACTATTTTTAAACAAATTGCCTCATTTTCAAATACCAACAGTTATTAATTGAGTCAATCTAAACAGTGTTGCCAAGTACAGATGATTAAGTCGATATCTCATTTAAAATTAATTGCAGTAATATTAACTATCTGCCAAAGATTGTTCAAGCCTTAATTTCCTCTTATAACTTTAATTATTCTATAATGCCATTTTCTTATTGAAGTCACTTTGGAAAGGGGAGATTTGGGTCTTTAAACGTTAGAAAGCAACTTATCAATTTCCAGATTCTAAATTTCAGAGTTACAGTTCAATCTGTATAATACAACTAAAATGGATACTCTATAGTCCCCCAAGTTTCTAGTAATTTTTATGAAGTCCTTTATGGAAATGCCAGAAGCATACTCCGGATATCCAGGGAGTTCACTATATTTCCTCAGGACCCATAGTTTCCTTAATCTTTTAATTCTTAACTGGCACAACTATCATTTATAGAGGGTTTATTCCAGGAAGCTACCTAGAGATCTGCCCCACACACCTTAAAAAGAGAAAAAAATGATAGTGGGTCCTAAGGCAAAGCAAGTGAACTCTCCAGAGTCCCCCAAGAGACAAAAGAATCACCCAGAAGATGACAGAACAGCTCAACTGCTAAGGGGGAAGATGGGAGGACTTAATAGAGCCACTCTGTAAAATCACTTACGGCATCAACCAGTCAGATGGCTGTAGGCATTCCAAAGCTGCCTCCACATTGGGCTTCTGACTTACAGGCTAGAAATGATGATCCCTAGATGCTTAATTCTGACATGGAGTGACAATTATAAAAGTTAATTTTGGTCCTCATATATGAATTCAATGAAATAAATGACTTTAATGGTCTGTCATTTATAAACCAGAAGCCCTTCCTTGGGTTACCCATTTATGAGTGTGTGTGTTGTTTGTAAATTATATGAGAATACATATGCTTCCCTTAAACAGGAAATTTCTTTTCATGAAGTACCGTTGTTTTACATCCTGTTAGTATTTTGACAGTATAGGATTTCTATAATATTTTGACAGTATAGGATTTCTCCCCTCAGGTGTGGTCACTATAGCTCTCCCACCACCAAAAATCCCATGGTCTTCCACAATAGTCCATTGTGCTCTCTCACCCCTCCCACTGTAGATGCTTCAAATCTAAGGTCAGCTTTCAAGGGATGGTTTGAATGTTTGTCTTTATCTGAACCTTTGTTTGGTTCCCTTGTATTCCACATAGTGACAGCATCTGGTATTCGTCTTTCTCATTCTGACTTATTTCCCTTCCAGCTCCATCCATGTTGCAGTAAATGGCCTGAGTTTATCTTATTTGATTACTGAGTAGTATTTCATTGTGTATATATACCACATGTCTTGATCCACTCATCATAAACAGAAAAATCTTAGAGAAGTTCAAGCTAGTTTATTCCTTTATAGGCTGTCAGAGATTTAGTCACTCTAGGGGTAGTACGATTGAACTAATAGTAAATAAGACAGTTTCTCTAAAACCAGCCACCCTGTTCAACCCTTAGAAATCTCAGGTTTTTATCTGAGACTCATGACACATTAGCCTCAGCAGCCTCTCATGTCAAGAAGTTTCAAATTATTACTGCTTTACAATAGAAATCAAAGTCCAAAATCATGGCAGGATGAAAGATTTTCTCTCTAATTTCCAAATTAAACAATATTCAAATTGGCAAAAAGTCTTTAGAGACTAAGAATGTACTCTGTGTGTGTGTGTCTATCTGTCTGTCTTTCTAGAGTAGAAAGCACATAGTATCTAAGGTCTAAGCCCTCTGATGGCTTCCTGTTGCATCCAGAAAAAATTTTGCCTCTTCCTCATAGTCAATAATACCCTACACAATCTGGGCCCTGCCATGCCCACCTGTGTTCTCTTCCCTCCAGCCATGGTGCCTTATTGCTTTTCCCTTCAACTTGTGTAGTGCACATCTCAGTTCCTTCAGTTTGCACACTCTTCCCCAGATCCTCCCACGGCTATCTTCTCCCGACTGTCCAGGTCTCAAATTCAAGTGTCATCTTTCTCAGAAATTTTGTTTGACCTTCCTAATCAAGGATGCCCCTAGTATTTTATCCTATTTTGTCTTCTCAACATTTGTCGGTATTTGAAATGGTCTTAGGTGTTTGTATAGGTACTTCTTGTCCAGCTCCCAAAATGGAATACAAAAGCCTCTGGACTGTGCTGTCAACCATATATCTCAATATCTAGTGCCCCAGGCCCAGCACATAATTACTCAGTAAATTTTACTTAATTGCGACTTTGCTTTCTAGTTAGTTACTGGACTTCCTTCCTAGTAGATTCTAGGCTCCTTGAGGTTATGGTAGGGAGTTATGACATTTTGATTTCTAAATAGCTGCCATCAAGAGATGCAAGTAATAGATTTCTCTGGGAACTTTAGAAAATAATTCTTTGCTTGGAAAAATTCTTATCTTTAAACTAAATGAGGTTCAATGAGTAAGAACATTATAGGTTATGTTCTTAATGATTCAGCTCTCACAAGCTGTGTAGGAAAAAGGAGAAAAATTACCCAGCCACTGTGTGACATGAACTGTGCCCTGTGCTTTGTTACTGAAGCTGTTCATGGAAGCTGTTTTAACTCATCTTTCAGATAACAATCCCAGAGTACGAAGATGTTAATACACCTGCCCCATACCACACTGCTAGTTAAGGAACAGCCAGAGCTGGGAACTGAACCCCAGATGATCTCATTCTCCAACCCATACCATCTCGACTGAATCCCTGGTCTCCTGGCTGGCCTTGGGCACTGGACAGTAAGGTTAAGGTGGAGAAGAGTCTTTGTATAGAGGGTTTGCACTGAGACTTTTTAAGTGGCAAATTTTGTAATTCATTGACATAGAAAATAAAAGGTATAGGAAGTGAACAGACTTAAGAATAAAAAGCCAAGCAAGTTGTAATGCAGCAAAGTTCAGAACTGTTCCCCAGATACATTGCATGGGGCTGGGTTCTGCTTGCTGCACAAGGAAGGATAGGTCCTTAAACCCTTACACCTCACATTTGATTATTAAGATTGAGATACAAGAGCATTTCTCTTGGACAGACAGAGGAGCACCTAACTGTAGCTGAGTTCTAGAGGGTGGATACTTACAAAGCCAAGCCAGGATGTCTTCTGGAAACAGCCTCAAATCCACATCAGCTCTTGAACAAGTACTCAGTTGATATCCCCAAGTGGCATACCCAGTACAGCATGGCCAGAATGAACTTTTCTTGAAAAAGATTCTAGTTTGATACTGAAATCTTACAGGTTAGAGAATGTCAGTGGAAGACATTTATAGAGGATTAGATAGTTACTATTAAGTCAGGATAATAGTGATTAAACCCTGTGCTCTGAAAAACCATTCTTTGGTCGTAATACAACACCGTAGTGGCATAGATATATATTTAATAGCTTAGCCAACTTGTCACTATAGCTTGGTTGCAAATAGCTAATTTGCAAACAATAATGGAAAGTGGCACTATAGATTGTATCTGACATATTTTCTCACAGGTGAAACAGTGTGTTAAGAATGGTGATTTGGGGCCTCCCTGGTGGCACAGCGGTTGCGTGCTGGGTTGCAAAGCTGCCCGCAGCCTCTGCAGCACCGGTTCGATCCCCGGCTGCTCCCCGGCCACCGGAGGAGGGTCCCACATGGCACGCAGACCTCTCCTGCGGCCCGCTGCTCCCCTCAGCAGTGTATTTCAGTCCTTCTGCCTGCTCTACTCTGGTGAATTCTCTCACCCTCCCACGCCTCTGACTGTACCCCAGTGCTTATATAAATAAATAAAGTTTCCTTTAAAAAAAAAAAAAAGAATGGTGATTTGAAGACATAAGCAAATAACTATCAAAATAATGGATCTATTGTAGAGAAATGTCTTGTGAATCCCTTTTTTTTTTTTTAAGACTTTCTCTTGAGATTCCTACTTGAGAATTCCTTCAGAAGGGATGTGAATTCAAAGGAGTTAAAATGAAGATGATAAAGATCTTGCCTTCCAAGCCAGACCAGCTTCTTCAGACTTTTGGTGATCAGCCAACTCCTACTGCAATTCTCTTTGAAGTTGAAGGTTTAGAATAAAGAGTTTTGAGATTCTATCTTAGAAAAGTGTGGTGATCCTTGAGACCTGGCCAGAACCAGTCCTCCTGATGACTGATTGCTATGCCCTTCCAACCAGAATCCTCAGTCACCAGGCTGCTCACCACTGGAGTTTACTTGA